GCTGGTTTTTATATTAAGCAAAAACTGAGGAACCAGACATTCCAATAAACAAAGACTGCTTTCCTTGGGAAGCTCTAGGTCCCTGGAATTAAGAAATATCACCTTCCACGAGACCCTTTGGTAGGAACGAAGCCCCAGGGAAGGAGCTGAGCACATCATTTGGAGGTGGTGGCCTGTGAGTCACCGATGATTTAAGCAGAGGTGAGACCTAGTCGCTCCTGTGTCTGATTTCAGGGAGAAAAAGAACAGTACACACATTGCCATAGTACATATTGGCAGTGGAGCCCATTGGCGCCAACCATCTAATTTTAAATGGTATATAAACAGCCGAGAACTTATTTTTCCAAAAGCCCAGAATGGCTTTTACTTGTTTGTACCCACGTAAAAGTGACAGGAGCTTTCCAGCAGCTAAGCCTGCATGATTTGAGGCCCGGTTCCATGTGTCGAATGCAGCCCCAACTCCCGTTGACTGTAATGGAGGCTGCTGCATAAAGAACGCTGCGTGCAGAACCCCAGGGAATAAATTTGTTGTGTGCGCTGCAGCTAGAGTCGGAATGAGTTTAGGAGGTCAGACCTATATATTTCAAAGTCCAGGGCACAGAATAAGCATCTCCCCAACCCTCTGTCCACAGTGCCATCACCAAGAGCCTAAGATCAAGAGATTTAGGATGAGCTAAGATGGGGCCCTGGAGTCTTGTGCCCAGTAAATGGGGAAAGATGGGAAAACAACAGTTATTAATTTTGCTGCTGATTCAAAAAAAGGAGGTGTTGGCAGCACCTGTGGGAACAGAAAAAGAACATAACTGTCTTCAGAGGTCACGACGGGGATATAACATCATGAGGCCCCACGGGGGGGAATAAGAGGAAGTGTCTCCAGGGGGGAAAAATGACATCTGGATCTACTCAGTTGAGCTGGTGGTGGTGGTGATGGTGACTGTGAGGGTGGCTGAGATGCACCACAATAACAGAATTGCCCGTCTCGAGCTTGCAGCTCCAAGGTGAGGAGAGAGGGCAAGAGGCTGCAATGGCAGGGCTCCCAGTGAGAGACGGGCAGGAGGTGTGACCCAGTCAGCCAGCAGCCAGGAGCACTGGGCAGAGAGGCCCCAGTGGAGGAGGTCCAGTACCCAGAAGGGCACTGCCCGGCTTTGGCGGGTGTGTGGGGGGGGTGAGTGTGGGTTTTTACAATGGGTTGGCTACATGGTAGGATGCTCCAGCAGTGACATCTGCCAGTTCAGAGATGCCAGGGCTCTGCCCCAGGGTGACGAGGCCACTGTGTCCTTACAAGAATCTCTGCCCCTTTAGCTGAGCTCCCTGAACCTTGTGGGCTTCTGGATTTCAGGTACAAAAACACATGCAGGCGGGTGGCCCAGTGCTGTCCTGTGTTCCCAGGAATGCTGCTGGTACCCAGGGCAGAGATATCTGAAACATGCCTAGAATTCTGAAGAGAGGAATCTGAGATGCCTCAATGAGCCCCTAAAAGGATAGAGGAGCAATCACTGTCTCCCTCTTCTGGAAGTTCTGTCAGTGGGTTGAAAGTGTTAGGGGATGTGCCACGCTGCTTGAGTGTTCCGGAGGGACCTCTGATCCCGGGGCAGTGCTGGGCAGATGAATTCTGCTGTTCCTTCCAGTCCTTTGCCTCACTCTTCCTGAGGGAGGAGAGTCACTCATCAGACTGGCCTTGTCCCTTGGCTCCCCTCCTCCACTGGCTGGCCCTCGCTCCAGCGTGGAGGACTTCCCTTCCCACTTCTGCCTCCACTCAGTCAGGGCTCTTCTAGGGAAAGGTCTGGGGCCAGTCTCCCCATCCCCACCATCAGGGTGTGGCCGTTTATTGGGTAAGGGGCCACCTCTGCATGAACTGGCTTGTCCCCAGGCCTGGACTTGAAGGGCATGTTAGGAAGCCCACGTGTGCCCTCAGATCCCGTTACATTCTCCATCCGATGCTCCCAGCAAACTCTGGGTCTGTCTCCTAATGGGTTCAGAACTCAGGGTGTGGGGAGTGATGTGGTTGATTACCACCCCCAAACCCCAAACAGTGGTCCACCTCCACTTCAGTCCCAGACACTGACGACGCTGGATTCCAGAAGCAGGGGCCTCGGCTGGGCTGCCACCCACAGTTGTTCAGAGATAAGCAGGCTGTGGTTGGCAACACAGAGCTTCCATGTTCAGTCTGGCCTTCCCGTCGAAAACCAATCCAGTGGAGAATCATTTACATTTTCTTCCTGCTTCAGCTGGTGGTGAAGTGGGCCCCTGCCAGACCTGGTGGTTCCAGTGCTCCTCCTCTGTGAGCCGAGCGCTTGGTTTTTCTCGGCAGCTTCTCCACAGCCCACTAATGAGACCCTGTTAGTGGTTATGAATGTAAATGCATTCTTTGTTATCCCTGCGAGCTCAGGATTAGTGAAATGACAGAATTTATTGCTTCTGTTAGAAAGATATGATATTGGTTGTTGTTGTGTCTTTAATTTTGTAGGAAGTACCAAAGTATAAAGCTACACAGTCTAAGTAAACAAAAGGCTGTAGAGGAAAATATTAGCACAAAGCATCGAAGACTGAAGCTACCCACGTCTCGCTAACCTTAGAGGAAATTGGAATTTATGCTCTCAGTTTCCTTTGGATTCACAAAAAAAAAACCCCAAAACAAAAAAACAACTCTGCCTCTTGACTCCCATTGAAAAGACTCCTTGGGTTTCCTTTTAGTGGTCAGAGAGAGAGAGAGAGATTTGAAGATGCTACACTGCTGACTTGGAACATGGAGGAAGAGGCCTCTAGAAGCTGGAAAAGGCAAGAAAACGATTCTCCAGAGCCTCAGGAATAAACACAGCCTTGCTGACACCTTGATTTTAGGACTTCTGACCTCTAAAATTATAAGATGATAAATTTGTGTTATTTTTAAACCACTACGTTTGTTTCAGTAGCAATAGAAAACGAATAACCCGGCAATACCCAGAGACAGCGAAGAATGGAGAACAGAAGCATTCCTGGATGCTGATGGTAGGAGTGTACCTTAGTACAGTATGAGGAGTCACAATTGCCAATGGGCATTACCTTTGACCCAGTCCATCAGTTTATCCTAAGATAATCAAGGGTGTTCACAAACCTGTGTAGGTATAAGAGTACACATTATAGTATCATTGGAGGACTGCAAATTTGGAAACCACCTAAATATTTACTTTTTGTAACTTTATGTTGAAAAAAATTCAAAAGTACAGAAAAGCTGCAAGAGGAGTCAAAGAATTCCTGTATATCCCTGCCCAAGATTCGCCCATTGTTAACACCGCTTCATTTGTTGGTCACTGTGTTTCTTTCTGAACCACTAAATGCTTGTTTAGTGGAGAATTAAACAAACTATCATCCAGGCCGTACAATGGAATCCCACGCAGCAAAATTTAAAACAATATAAATCTATATTAGTGGGGAATTAAACAAATTATCCATGCAATGGAATACTGTGCAGCAACATTTAAAATGATATAAATCTGTTAACTTGTTATCACACTCATTTATTCAACAAATGTGCCTTAGGGTACCAATTACCACCCCCCAATCCCAATAAACGGGAAGCTGGCGTTGTTGGAGGGCCACGATGCTTGAGTGCGCGTCAGGTACCCTGTCATTGCTGCTGCTTGATACAATTACTCTCTAATAACAGCGTGCCTCCCTGGCACTGTACGTGCACATCACATCCGGTCCTCGTGAGAACCCTGCAACCTAGGCATTTCTGTCTCCATCTCCCCACTGAGAAGCTCAGGCTCTGAGAAGGGCCACATGGCTGGAGGGGGTGGCTCTGGGATCTGAACCAGAGAGAGAAGCACTGAAGCTTGCACTGATTTTTACTCGCACCTGGTGCCTCCTGCTTCTACCTCATTCTATTTACCAGCCCAGTGACTCAGGAATGAACAGACTCACTCACTGACCTACCCCAACTCAGATCATCGTGTCTGATGTGTCCGACTCCACCTTACTTGAACTTCACCCTGGGGACTAGAACTCTTAACGAGGGTTGAGAGGGTCAGGCCAGAACGTCGTCCCCAGGGGGCTCTTCGAGCTGATGGCTAGGAGCAAGCAGCCTATCCTCATGTGCTTCCTCATCAACTTACTCCATCCAGAAAAAGGTAGCAGAAGGCAATGAGCATTCTGCCAGGAGGGTATCCCAGTCAACGCACGCATTGTCCATTACAGTGGCAGCTTCTTTCTGAGTTGATTTTCTTCACACTAAGTACATGTTCACATCAGACTTGATATGAGCTCATACTGATGGCACAGAGAAGCTATAGCACTTGACGCAAGAGAGCAAGACATGGGTACGTGGAAAATACACTGCCCCGGGGAAGAGACACAGGGCCTAGGGGAGCCCAGACATGAACTGGCTTTGTGGCCTCGGCAGCTCAGCCTCTTCTCTGTGGCTCATTTATGGACTCAGAAAACTGGACTAGAATGATCTCAAAGGTACCCTTCCTGGAGTCAGAGCCAGGGAATGCTTTCAGATTACAGATCACAGAGAGGGTCTGGAAAGATGATCTGGTCCAGCCTCCCCCATCCAACAGGTAGTATCTAACCCCCAGAAGACCAACGGCCAGTCAATCCTCATGTCTGCAAAGCTGTCTGAACCTTCTGGCTTCTGACTGCTGATTAAATCGAAATATTTGCCCACAGTATTTTTGTACACCAAATAATGAAGGATGTAGGCAGCTCTGTGGCCTCTCTTGGTTCTCAATTTTAAATGTTATCAGTTACGGAAAGCAAACATTCTTGAGAAACAGAAACATTCCAAACCTCTAGTGATAACGTAGCACGTCCATAAGCCCCCCTCACTTGGGACAGACTTGGAAGCCAAGAGGCCTTACCAGGGAACCAAAACAGAGCCTTTGCTTACAAGCAAGCCCAATTTCCATTCCCCAGTTGTTTTCTCCAATTTGAGCCCCCAGGTGCTCAGCAAGCCTCACACAGAGCACTCTCTCTCCAGAGCCTGGAAGGTTGTGGAAGTTACGGGAAGTGTGGCCTACCTGCCGTGTCCTTTTCAAAAAAGGGCTGGATCATCTCGCCAAATTTTGACTTTTCTGCCACGGCCTCTTTCAGCAGGTGCCCACAGCAGACTGGAGGAGAGGGACAGAAAGATACTCGTTCAATTTTAAATAGAAGGAAGAGTGAGAAAAAAAGAAACCCCAATGCTGCCTGCTGCGGGCAAAGAAAAAGGTCATTGAAAAAAATATAAAAGGGCTGTTCTGAGTGTGGGTATGTGTCCCAGTGAAAGTAAACATCAAAAAGGAATCGAGAAATAAAAAAGAAGCTGAGGAGGAAGACGCGGAATGAAAAAGAAGGCATTTGGCAAAGAACATATTAAAAATAGACGGCATGTGGAAGACGTAAAGAGGGAGGCTGCCATCACAGAGCCCCTGCAGGGCCTCCGTTACGCCAGGAATTACTGAATGGAGCTCTGGTCGGCGTGGGGTTAACACTCGGTGGAGAACTGCTTGGAGCCGAGTGACGTGCCACAAGAGTGCTCATGCTCACCCTGCGATTATGCAGGGGAGGGTGGGGAAGCTTGTCTCCACAGCCCTTCCAGTCGGTAAGGCGTTTCCATGGGATGGTGGGGCCACAGAGAGGACCAGCTTATATAACAAATGGGCTCACTCATAACTGACGCAGCATGCTGGAGTTACCCAACCCACAGCTGCTGACGCCCTTTGGATCTATGGTCCACGCAAGAAAGGGCCATTCTATCCTGAGCCCCACTGTGTCCCCAGATCCCAGCCATGGCCAACACACAGGAGGTGTCAGTCAACACGTGTGGAACAAATAAACACAGGCTACGCTCTTCTTGGCTATGAAAGCCCTTAATAGCCAAAGCTGGAAGGTGCAAGGTATATTTTCATAAGTTGTTAATTGCACAGTCTTGCTTTTCCTAACTTTAAGGCCAGGAGGGTGTCTTTCTATATTAAAGAAACCAAAAACAATCCTAAAATTAACTGGAAAAAGTGAGTATTTAAGACCACAACCATTACCAAAGATTTATTCCTCAATAACAACATATTTAATTCACTGTGTACATGACAGAAGTGATTATATCCAAGGTGGCTGGCAGCTTCACTCGCTAAGGGAAATAGAAGTAATAATAAAGGCCGATGGTAACTGAGACCTTTCTATAGGCCAAGCCCCGTGCTAAGTATGCTTTGTTTTATTCAGTCCTCACAACAACTTGCTGTTTTTAGACAAGGAAACTGAGACTCAAAGAGGTGAAGGAACCTGATCTAGGCCACAGAACCAGTAAGCAGCAGCACTGGGATTCAAACCCAGGTCAGTGTGACGTCAAACCCATACTTAGCTTCCGGTTCTGGCCAGAAAGGAATAACAGCTATCATATTTACCTTCTGCCAAAAAACTGGACAAAATATGTGAAGCAACTCTTTTCAGGCATTGGACAACAGACAGCACAGGGCTGTGATCCTTGAGAGAAGAGAAGCACACAAAGTGAGTCCCACATTCACCCTCCATTTCCACCTACGGGCACTTTTGAAACCACAGCACAGGAGAAGTGGAAGCCAAGCAGAGCAGTGGGAAACAAAGACTGGAGTCTGCGGCTCTGAGACAGCTGGATTTGTGGAACAGGGTGATGGAGAGGAGGGAGCTGTGCAGAGAAGGAGTTCCAGGAATCTGCACGGGGGTTCATTGAGTCTTTGGTCAGTGCAAAGCTGCACATGTGTAGGGTGAGACTCCACAATGCCTGGTAGAGAAAAGGCACTGGGAAGCTGTGAACTGAGTGGAGCGTCACACGGTGCTGGAGATGCTGGCATTCTGACACCCAAAGTGGGAGACCTTGCTGAACACCCCATCAAGCTGAGACTCCAGCAAGGCTGCACTTTAGTGTAGGGATGCACCAGCCCTAGAGGAAGCACACTCTATCCCCACCTTAACAAAGACTAAAAATAAGCCTCAGTGGCATCAAGTTGATCCTCCAGTAACTTAACTGCCTGTTAGAACTCAACTCTTTTTAATTCCATATTCTTAAAGCAGAACCACACAATCCAGACTCTCAACACTGTAAAAATCACGATGTCCAGCATGTAATAAAAAGTACTTGAGATGTGAAAAACTAAGAAAACGTGACCCCTACAAGGAGAGAGAACAGGCCATAGTATCAGATCAAGAGATGACACAGATGTCAGAATTGGCACACGAGGACTTTAAAACAGCTATTATAAATATGTTTAAAACTTGAAATGGTAGTTAAAGTGGGGGAACAGACTGGAGAATCTCAGCAGAGAAATAGAAACTATAAAAAAGAAACATGGAAATTCTAGAACTGGAAAATAAAATATCTTAAGTGGAAAAAAAATCACTGGATGGGCTGCAATCAGTGAATCTGAAGACAGAAAAACAGGCAATAAAAAGTATCCAAACTGAAGCAAAGAGAAGTGGAGGTGGGGGTGGAGGGGAGGGGGGAGTGGGACTGGAAAGAATGAATAGAGCCTCAGAGACCTAATGGACAATATCAAGCAATTTAGCACACTTGTAATTGAAGTTCCAGAGAGAGAGAGAGAGAGAAAATTTGAGAACATAATAGGAGATTTTAAAAATTTGATGAAAAATATTAACCCACAGATCCAAGAATCTCTGAGATCCAAGCAAAATAAACATAAAGTAAACCATACCTTGATACACCATAGTTAAGTTTCTGAAAACTAAAAATAAAGAGAAAACAGTAAAAGCAGCTGGGAGGGGGGGATGCTTTATATAGAGAGGAACAATGATAAAAATAATCTCTGAGTTCTCATCAGAAGCAATGCAAGCCATAAGACAATGGAATCACATATTTAAAATGCTAAGAGGAAAAAAAACTGTCAACATAGATTTCTATATGCAGCAAAAACATCCTGCAAGAATGAAGGTTAAATAAAGACACTTTCAGACAGATGAAAGCTAAGAGAATTTGTCACCAGCAGACTTGCACTACAAGAAATGTTAAAGGAAGTTCTTTAGGCTGAGAGAAAATACCAGATGGAAACTTGGTTTTAAACACAGGAGTGAAGAGTGTTGACATGTGGGTATACATAAAAGCCTTTCCCCTCTCATTTCTTGACTCTTTAAAAAAAGACAAATGACTGTTTAAAGCAAAAGTAATTACAATGTATTGTAGGGTTTATAACAGATGTAGGAGTGACATGTACGACAACAACAGCACAAAGGCCAGGAGCAAGGGAAACGGAAATATACTCTGCAAGGCTCGTATATCATATACGAAGATGCATAATATTAATTCAAGATAGACCGGGGTAAGTAAAGGATGCATATTTAATCCCCAGAGCAATCTCTAACAAAATAAAGCAGAGATATTGCTTATAAGGCAATAGAGAAAATAAAATGGATTACTAAAAAATATTTGGTTTGTCCAAAAGTTGGCAGGAAAAGAGGAACAAAGAACGGATAACACAAATAGAAGACAAAAAATCAGGATGGTAGACTTGAAATCAACCATATAAAATTCCTTTAAATGGAAATGGACTATACACTTAAATTAAAAGGCAGAAAATGTTAGGCTGGATTTTTAAAACAGCAAGACCCAACTAAATGTTGTCTATAAGACACATATTTAGAATATAAGACACAGAGAGTTTAAAAGAAAAAGGACAGAAGATATGCCATACAGACACTAATCATAACAAAGTTAGAGCAGCTATATTAATATCAGACAAATAGACTTAAAGAAAATGAGTATTTCTGGAGAGGCAGAGGAATATTTCCTAATGATAAAAGAGTCATTTCATCAAGAAGACATAACAATCCTTAGCATATATGCACTTAACAACATAGCTTCAAATTACAGGAAGCAAAGACTGGCAGAGAAATAGACAAATCCACAATTACAGTTGGAGATTTTAACACACTTCTCAGGAACTGAAATAATAAGTAGACAGAAATCATTAAAGACATAGAAGATTTGAACAACACTATCAAACATTTGACATCCTATTTGACATTTACAGAGCACTATATCCAACAACGCCAGAATACATATTCTTTTCAAGTACACATGAAATTCGTCACTATAGACCATATGCTGGGCCATAAAAAAGTATCAATACATTTCAAAGGATTGAAATCATATAGGGTATGTTCTTTGATCACAATAGAATTAACTTAGAAATCAATAACAAAAAAAAAATCTGGAAAATTTCCAAATATTTTGAAATAAGCAATTGTTCATGAGTCTAAATAATACATGGGTCAAAAAAGAAACCATAAGGGAGATTAGAAAATAGTTTGAACTGAATGATAAAACACAACGTATTAAAATTTTGTGAGATGCAGCTAAAAAGGTGTTTAGAGGAAAATACATTAAGTGCTTATATTAAGAAAGAACAGTTTAAACCCTGCCTACAACCACTTCACTCTACAATATCCTTTGAAGAGAATACTGTAATGGGCTCCTCTCCCAAAGGCTCAAAGCACCCAGGCTTTAGACACAAGCAGACCTGGGACTGTACTGGGATCTGCCCTGCCTCACTTTGCTCACCCCTCTCTCCCTGCCTGGCAGTGACCACCTGGACCCTTAAGTTCCTTTCTTATTTTTTCTACATTTGCCCTATCTGTGTACCCAATGAAGTAGGCACTCAATGAGTAATATTAATAACATTTTAATAAAATTCTTCATGGTTGTTTCTGGTTAGAAAATTCACGCTTATTGCAAAAAAAAAAAAAAATCAGAATTGTATAATACACCACTCTACAGAGATAACCAGTTTGGTGTATTGAGGTTCTTTCAGATTTTTTCTGAGCATAGACTGACACACTTTTTTAAACAAAAATGAGATGATCCTGTGAACACTGTTGAGTGACTTGCTTTCCGCCCCTCCCCCATTTAACAACACATCACGGACATCAAGTTAATTTACAGGTTTCTTTAAAATAGCTGCCTATGACTCCACTATATGGGTTTACCGTCACTTAACTAATCCTCTTACGAACTGAGTTTGGGGTTGCCTCTATTTTTCATTATGCATCCTTCGCATCTCTTGTTGAGTATCTGAGTGTTTCAGTAGAATAAAATCTTGGGAGTATAAAGTCATTGGGCCAAAGAATTTGCAAAGTTAGCTTTTCAATCAATAGTGGCTTTTATCTTTCAAAGAATTGTGCCCGTTTATATTCCTACCAACTGTAAACGGCAGTCTTTCAATCAACCTTCTTGGAGTGAATGTTGGGTTGTTTGTTTGGAGATGTTTTCCCACGGCTTAAAGGTTCCTAACGTGGAGATGAGAACCAAGCCAGGCAACGGCAATGGAGGCAGGCAGTTCTGGGTGCAGACAGGCCTCTGCAGAGAGACTTCAACAGACAGCGCAGTGCTTGCCTCTGCCAACAGCAGGTCCCTTAAATCAGTTTACTGAATTCTCATGATGTCTCGTATTTATCAAGAACACCTTTGAGAAATGTGAACTTTCTGAGTTAGTCTCCAAATGCTCAATTATCAAAAAGAGCCCCCAAATGGCTCTTTTGTTACAAAGCAAAAACCATGATGAGCTTTTCTATTTTCATTTTTGGAAATATCTAGGCTGGTAATTTCATTTCTTCATGATTGGTGTACTGAAAACAATTTAAATTAAAAAATATTTTTCTTGAATGAAACTGTCTGCATAAACAATGGCACAGTGACAATTAGTTAAATAAAGCCCTGAGCTATATTAAGGTATTGCTGCTGTATTTTTCGGACCCTCCCTCTGCCATTAAGGCTCTTCTCACTATAACTCTTCACGTCCCTTCACATAACAGTCGGTGCAGACACTTAAATAAACATGTGGGTGCAACTGCAAGTAGACTGCTGCTCGTTCTTAACAAAGAAGCCACCCAAAATTCAGTCTCATAATACTCTTAAGAGGGAAAATCAAAAAGAGAAGAAATTATCTGAAAAGTTCCATTATTTAAAAAAAAACAGTGATGCAAGCAAAATCATTTTTTTATCCAAAAGCGTCCAGACTATTTTTCCATACTCATCAAGTCAGAATACCACTATTGAGTATTTTTATTAAAACACCAATACTACTATTAGTATTCTTTCATGTGAATTAGAATAATTGCTCAGTTCTCTATCGTCATTTAGTGGGTATGAGTTTTGTCATTGATTCCTGGCTAGTCTCAGTGGCTTTGGAATTTTAAGTTGGAGGAGAACTAACTGAAAAAGCATTTTTATTCAAAGTTTCATCCTTCTGGGGTGGTATATATATACATATTTGTGTGTGTGTATGTGTGTGGATACACATATATCTGCATGGTGTGTATGTATAATTTGGCGATATATATGCATATTTCTATATTTAGGGGTACAGGTCTTGTATTTTCTTGGTAAACAGAGGTTATTCAGGCTTGTGGAACACTGCGGGGCAGTGCCTTGCGCTCCCTCCAGCTGCCCTGCGTGTCTGCTACAGCTTCCTCCTCCTTTCTAGCCCTTTATCCTCCTGAAGGCAGGCCGGCATCCGAGACCACCTGGGACCACCCCGGGAAAGACCTGGAGAACGGATTTCAATATTTTCTCTCCTCCTGGTAAAATATTTATTGAAACTGTGCTGAGAGAGAAGTCTTCCTCTGGTTCAGAAATTGTTTGCCTGTAAACATGCTGACCTGGGTTGGGGAGCCAAACGAGACCACAGAAAATAAATAAACAGCAGATCCATATTATGCGAGAGCTGCAGTTTCATGGGAGACTGCAGGGGCTGGACGAAGCTCCTCTGGTGCACAGCATAGAAAAACCACTGCTCCAAAGGATATAAAAAATGATGACTAGAAATTGTTCCGGCTCGTTGGGCTGTGGACATGTTTTTATTGGTTAATGTTTTCATGGCAATATTCTTCGGGAGGAGAAATCCTTATCCCTGCAAAGATGGACTAACTGAAAATGGTTCAGAGCAGAGAGCAAGAAAGAGAAGTGATACTGGTCTCCTTCTCACCACCCCATAAAACGGGAAAGCTTGAGAGGGCAGCAGACAGGGGAAGGCTCTGGAAGCAAGGTGGCTGCCGGGGCACTCACCGTTGACGAGGCCGTATTTCTGGGCCAGGAGAGCAGCCTGCAGACTCTTCCCACTGCCCACGGGCCCGCAAAGCAGCACCCTCGGGGTGAACGGGGCATTAGATCGACGGTTGGTTTGGACATAGGTCAGAGCTGGAAAGAGAGGATGTGAGGATAATAAAGCCAGGTCCTAAAGAAAGGGAAACCAGCTTACAACACCTGTGCTTGGGCTCTTTTAACGGCAGTAATTATTTCTCTCTTTTATAGCACCATGGAAACCCTCTGTGCGTCAGCCGAGCGGCCACAGGCCGAAGCTGCGGGGGAAGGAATTATGCTTCAGGCCTGGGCACCAAGGTGAGGAGAGGGCAATGAATCCACAGAAGCCACCCTCTGAGCACCACCCTGGAATTCCTCTAAACACAGCGAGTGTGGCACGTGCTCCCTCCTGGCTGAAGCGGGGCTGGGTGTGTTGTTGGGGGGCTGGTCCCAGGACACAGGATGCATACTATTGGGTTGAGATGTTTCCATATTGAGTCTGGGGTGAGCCCCTAACCTGAAGCCCCGGGACTGGGCCAGTCTCCTAGTGTCAGATGCAGGCTTTGATAAATGCATCAGGCCACGCGGAGGCCTAGCACGCAGGGACTTCTAAAGGACTCAGGAATTGGTGGAGAATAATTTGCAGTGGCACTCCGGTGACACCAACTTTGTTTCGAGTCTCCAAAGAGGCAGTGATCAAATAGGTCCCGGGAGCGGGTGGATGCAGCCGCACGGGCAGGCCTGTAGTGTGCCCCAGGCACGTGATGAACAAAGAGGTGCGGAGACAGGAGTGAGCATCTCTAACACTGAGGCGACCGCACCGTGGGGGGCACGGGATACCAAAATCTACTGAACATCAAACCAGGTCACCCCCACCCGAGCCCAGACGAGGAAGTGTGTGAGCTGACTGAGGGGGCCGTGGAAGGTCAGCCAGTCAGCACGTGACAAGAGGAGCTGCCCGCCGGCTGAGGCCCAGATCCCCAGCCGCTCGCATCAAAACGGGGTCTCCCTCCCCAGGCCTGCCTCCTGCCAAGGACTCAGACCATCCTGTGCAAGGTCAGCCGTGGGCAGCCCGGTGACACCTTCCTGCCTTCGGATGGATTCCTCCCTGGGCTGGGGGCTGAGCCTTCAGGAACCGGGCCTCGCCGAAACCGTCGACAGGTGCGGCAGGGTTTGCCAACCTTGCACTCTGGCAATTTTGGGCACATCCTCGACATCTACCCACCAGGTGCCAGCAGCACACTCCCAAGTTGTGACAACCACAAATGTCTCCAGACATCGCCCAATGTCCCGGAGTCGGGGGCGGGGGGACACGACAAAATTGAGAACCCCTGGGCTATGATCATTGTGCAGATTTTGAACTCTTGAATTTTTGTAGGACTGTTTAATTGGAAGGATCATTCGAGAAACTATAATCCCCCTCAGTTTAGAACTAAAGGCACAGTAAGTGAATCGACTGACTTCAAAGTTGTGAAGCTCATCATCGCTAGCATGTATTAACTGCTAAGCTAAATACTCCATAGGCATTATCTTATTTGATCGGTGCAACAGTCCCATGAGGGATGTATTCTCGTCCCCATTTTACAGAAAGCTGGCAGGGCTGGGGCAACTCTCCCAAACCCACTGCCCTGGGTAACCTTTTCCACCAGTAAGAATAACCCGGAGAAAGCAGTTCAGGCACGGTTCTCTTTATCCTCAGACTTTCCGTGCTCTGGCACATCTGAAGAGCACAAATACTACAGGCAAAGCAGCCTGCTTACAAATGACGCCTAATTTACAGTAAGTAACTAAGTTAATTAGAAGTAATGATCCCCCAGACAGTCTCAACATCTAATTATTCTTTTTAAAAATATGTGGTTGCTGGATGCACTGCAGAGAGATTTAAAAAACAACACAGAGAGAATTTTGCATTCCAATTTTCAATTTATCTCTCTGCATTATTAATTAATAATAATTAATATTCAGACACTCACATTTTTATTTACAATTCCAGGCATGAATTCTTTATGAACAATCATATGAACTTTTAAATTTAATTAAGTAATTTGGAAGTAATTAATGTGTAAATTCAGAATCATGGCATAAGATAAATGTTGTGGTTGTTTATCAGCAGAGCACAGCATTTGCTACTAAAGACCCTTCCGAGATGCAAAATCACTGGAAAATTATAAGCCATCCCCGAGCCTGGCATTTTTAAAAATAGCATCAGTTTCTAGACATCCACCTGGTGGCTGGCTGACCCCCTTTGGAGAGTGAGGCCGTGCCATTTCCGGGCTCTCAGCAACACAAAGCCACTCCCCACGAGCAGGTGGGGGATGGTGGGGGGCCCATGCAGGGAGCTCAGAACCACATCCCACCAAAACCAAACTTTTCTTGAAGAGATTGGAGAGAATATACCAAGAAAGGCCATTGTAAACTGTCGAGCATCTTCAATACCTGCGGTGATATTTTATTGTGTCATTTACCTAGCATTGCATGGAACGGGAACACTAGCCTTGGAGACAACCGAAGCTCAGCGAGACCTAAAGAAATTATAATTCAGCTGCTTCAGGAGAGAATTATTCTAACTTTCCCTGGCCTTTTTGGACAGCATGCGGAATCATGACGACAACAATAGCGTCTGACGTTTACTGAGCCGTTTCTCTGCACCTGCTCCTGGGCTCGCAGCTGCGGACACATGATTTGCAGAATCCCATGTAAGCCTGTGAGGAAGGCAGGATTTTTTGTTTCCATTTTAAGGATGACAAAACTGAGGCTCAGAGGGCTTAGGAGGGTTGCCTAAGACTGCACAGCGGATGTGTGGTGGGGCTGAGATTTGAACACAGGTCAGCTGGCTCCAAAGTCTCGGGGCTCAGTCGTCATCGTCACCACACACACACACACACACACACACACACGCCTGCTTCAGCAGTTTCTGGGAAGCTGCTGTGGACACGTGTTATTGCTCCAGATGGCAGTGCAGTGCCGAGTGTCTGGCTGCTTATCCCTGCTCTACATGGATTCACAACACCTGAGTTATGTTGCTTTTTTTGTTTTTTTTGGTGGTGGTGGTGGGGCTTGTTTGTTTTAAACTTTATAAATTTTCTCTTCTTTCTCCCTCACTGTCAGGGCAGAACCAAGTCCCTGCCACCCCGCTCCTCGCCTCTCCTCGCCCCACCCCATCACTGTCAAATCTGATGACCACGCAGGAGTGTAGGACATTAGCCCAGGTTCCCCAAGTGCGCCACTCTCAGGGACCCCACACTTGTTTCTGGGCAGGGACCATGACTTGACTCCAGGGTCGCAAGCACATCCTGGACGCTGGCTGCCGCCAGATGAACAGACATTGGGGTGAGGAGGGTCGAGGCGCACGGTGAACCTGCTGCCCGTTTGTGTTTACCCTGGTAAAAGACATCCATGCACGGCTGGTCGGCACTGATGACTTTCAGGATTTTGGGGTACGAGGGGAGGATCCTGACGATGTTCCTGTGATACTCCAGCAGTTTCCCTGCTGTCTCCAGCTCCGAGATGCCCCCTGGCACCATCAGTCGGTTCTGGATTTCAGGCTCAGGGGGCCAGTCAAAGGTGGTATGATAAATCTCTGCAAGGAGAGAGGGATGCAGTTACAGTCACCTGCCCAGTGGCTGCCAAGGACGCCACTGCATCTGGCTGGGAGCTTGCCGTCCTGGAGGCCAGAGCCTGCGAATCCCCAGCCATTCATCTACCCCAGCGGTGCAGGCTGCGCTCCGGCTCTGGGCCGGCTCTTCCATTACTGTTAACAACAAGAAAATGATGACACTACTCAGCACAGCGGGAAGGGCAGCTGTGACGATCCGAGCGCTTACTCAGTGCCAGGGGCTCTGATAGGACCCACCTGCAGCTCTCGTTTCATCCTCCCAGCGATCAGATCATAAGGTAGGTCTCAGTATTTTCCTCCCCATGTACAGAGGAGAAAACCAAGTCTTGGAGATGTTGGGCAACTTGTCCCATGTCACACAGCTGGAAAGGGGCAGAGTCAGGATCCCCAAATCCAGATCTATCTGCCACCAAAGCCTGAGCCTGGAGGTCAAGGGCACCTGGCCCCCCTGCTGAACCGCCTGGTATTCAAGACCCAGCTCAACATGAAGAGAGCTCAGCCTGTGGCATTTGACCCTGCGCTTGCCTGTGCAACCTCTCACGTACCCCTCTGCAGGTGCCCAGAGCAGAGTGAGGTAAGTGCTCAGTAAATGATGGGTGGGGGGATGGGGAGTGGAGATAACTGTACCTCCAGTTTGAGGGTCGACTCTCTTCCCCAAGTTTCTCTCAATCAGGACTGTGTCTGGAGCACTCAGCACGACTGGGTAGAGAAGAAAAGGGCAAAACCAGGCATGTTGGGCAGCGGATTCCAGACACTGGAACCTCATAAACCAATAACTCATGTTTCTTTTGCTGTATAATGACATTAAAACAACCACCATCTCCCATCCCCAAGAATCCCTTAAAAGAAAGGTCTTCTCAGCACCATAACATAAAGGCCACAGTCTCAGGACAGAGGACAGGCCATACTCGAACATTTCAACTGCTAACAGTTTTCACTATCATAAATAATGCCGTGAGGAACATCCTTGTGCATGATGCTTTTGCCACATTTGGGACTATTTCCTAAAGAGAGTGTCTGACTTGGGATTTCTGGAACAAAGAACCACTAAGGTCAAAACGAAACCCCACTTTTCTAAAAACAATCCCCAAATGCATTTAGCTTTATGAAAACTTTGATCACGCCATCCTCCTCTTTCCTGCTGCGTCATAGGCCCATCAAAACCCCCTCTCAGATGGTGCCTGGGCTGAGGGTGGGCACTGTGGAGCTGGATACAGAGCAAGGTGCTCACTCATGGGGTCTGGGGACTATAGCTCTAGTGGGAGGGCCCACAGGGGGCTACTCACTGACGTGTCTGGGGGTGATCCCGAGGGTCTGGATCATCAGAGCCTGCTCCCGAGATTCAGGGATGCCATCCAGGATCCAGCCCTAGGCAAAGAATTTGGAAAGGTGCTCATCTATTTTTACTTTTAAGATTTTTTAGAATTATTATAAAAGGAATATAAGGGCTTAATAGAAAGCCTGAAACTTTTAAGACAAAAGAAAATCAATGTTTCGGATAGCCACATGACCCTTACTTAACAACTACTCTCCTATTCTATTCCCTTCTGAATCTTACGTATGTAATTATAATCATAACACATGTATTTTATGTCCTGATTTTTTCCATCACGTTCTGGCTACCACAGCACTTTTTCATATCGGCACCTCTTCATTGCTACCATTTTCAACGGCTATACAACGTTCCACCAAGGGAGCATGCCACAGTTACTTAACCACGCCCCATGACTGAACATTTCAACTGCTAACAATTCGCATTATCATAAACAACACCATGAGGAACATCTTTGTGCATATGGCTCTCTCCACATTTTCAATTATTACCTAAAGAGAGTTTCTCAGATATGAGGTTCTTGGGACAAGGAACCACTGCTGTCAAAACAAAATTCCACTTTTCTTAAGAACAAGCCCCAAACGAAGCATTAAGAGACCTGAGTTCAAGTTTCTGTTCTGTAGCAAACTTGTTATAGGGCTGAAATCCTTCAGACATCAGCCTCTTCTTGGTACAGCTAGGGAATTGGTTCAGATTTATTTTTATTAACTCTTTAAGTCCAACTGTGAAAGTAATACACAATCATACACTATGTGTAAAATACTGAAAAGCTGAAATAATAGTGCAAGTCACTGGTAACACCACTGAACCATACTAGCCACTACTAACATTTTGATATATCTCCTTCCAGCTTCACATCCAGATATCTTTTTTCTTGGTAGAAACAAAAAGGAATCACACTGTACATACTCTTTTGTAGTCTGTTCTTTTCATTTAGCAAAAACATTTCATGAACATCTTCCCACGTCACAAAATACTCCTTTCCTGTAAGTTTTCATAGCTGCCAGGCATTGAGTGAATTGACCTGCCGAATGTTAACGAATCCCATATTGTTGCTCATTTAGTTTCATTCCAGTTTTTCACCATTATAAAAAAAACACTGCAAATACATCTTGATGCACATAGAATATCCCGGAGATAAATTTCTAAAAGGTGATACCTTCTTTTGTGACTTTTGATACATTTTGCCACATCCCTCTACAAAACTGCTGGGCCAGTTTATAAATGCAATGGCAGGTCACCTGTTTCCCTGCATCTTTGTCAACATCAGGCATTATCATGGGGGAAAATCTGTCCAGCAAAAGAGTATACCATTGCTGTTTGAATTTACATTTCTTTGATCAATAGTGAGGACCAATATTTTTTCCATATGTTTATTGGCTATTTGAATTTTTTTCTTTTTCAAAATGTTCATTCATACTATCTATCCACTTTCCCCTTGGGGCTGTATCATTTTATTTATTTACGAAAACTCTTTACATAATAAGAACATTAGCCTATTTGGCAAACACTACCACAGACCCTTTGAGGCAAACAATGTTGCCAACGTTTTCCACAGTTTGTCTTTGGCCTCTTAATTTTGTGTCGGAGGCTGTTTCTAACACTGGAGTTTTGGCCAAAACAATCAGTGCTGTCTGTCCTCTTTGGATTCTGGCGTTGTGTGGATGCATAAAAAGGGCTTCCCCACTGTAAAAGCTGATAAATATTCACTTGCATTTAAACGGTGTTCTCTTACGGTTTTACTCTTTACATGTAAACAGGTAATAGAGCCACATTTTATTTAGAAAATGATATGAGGCTGTGATCTAGCTTGCTTCCTTGTGGCTCACCAACTAGCCCAACGTCATCTTTGAAGCAGCCCATCCTTTCCCCTCTGGATGTCACTCTTTATCACAGTCTAACTGCTGATATCACGTGGGCTCTGGCATCTTTCTGCCTGTAGACTCTTGTATCATCCTTATACCAATTATGGTTTATAATTTATTGTTACATCTAATAGGACATACTCCTCCAGCTTTGTCTTTTTTTCAAAAATTTGTTCTTCCAGGTAAGCAGCAGAAATATCTTGTCAAGTTGCAAAACAGAAATTCTACTAGGATTTTGGAATGACATTAAATGTGTAGATGAATTTATGAAGAATTGACATTTTTGCAATATCAAGTCAACACATTATCTTCCCGTTTTCTTAAACTGTTTTTTTAATGTCCCTCGACAATGTTACTAAACAATTTCTAAAGTCCCATGAGTTTAGAATTACACACACACCCCACAATATTTAATGCTTTTGACTTGCTATCCAGATAAATTAGATAAACTGAAATACAGAAGAGTGAAATAAAGCGGCAAATTGCTTCTCCAGGCTTCCTTTCTGCAGTGAGGGGGCTCAGACAACCACAAGCTGAAGCGAGGTTTCTGACACTGGCTCCCAGAAGGGATCCCCCCTTGCCATAGACCCCTCCCTCTGAGTCATTATGAGAACTCAGTTGCTTTAAGGTCAGAGGATGGACTGATGGGGTGAACTCAGACTCAAGGTCACACATACCCCATAACACTCGATTTACAGAACACCGTGTGGGTGAAGGCAAGAAATGTCTTGCTTTAAAAAAAAAAAAAAAAGGGCCTACATTTCAATATTAAAATATTTAAGTTCCAACAGCCTCAACTGACAGTTAAAAAAAAAGCTGAACAAATTTACGGAGTAAAGAGTGTTGGAAAAACCAGGCATGCTTTCATTAATTTCTTAAATTATGCAGAAAAACGTGCAGCCACAGAGCCCCTGGTTTCTAGAACTAATGAAGCAAAAGTGCAAAAAAAATTTTAACAGCCTTTTGCTCCCTCAAGTCCTTGTTATAGCCAGCCAGGCGCTGGGCTGCAGCTCTTAAAAAGCACAAACATCTACAGATGTGAGCACCGCCACAGGAACCAGGAGACTGGCGTCTGAGAGCTCCCTCACTTCCAGTTCTGCAAGCTGAACCAAAATTTTCTGAACTTTAGCTACATTCAGATGCCTTTATTTTTCTTTATTTGGAGGGGAGGGGTTGGGAGCCCACCAATTGCTTCTTCTAGGACAAAGGCTGGTAATTCTGTTTCGAGTCATTTTTTGAAGCTGAAAGAAGGTTGGAACTCCACCTTCGCTCAGCACCAAGGCCTCCGCTTTTAATATTGCATTACTGAGCAAGCATTATAATCTCGCCCATAAGTCTGCAGCTGATATCAGTATGTGGTCCAAAGCTTTTAGAACTATTCAGGGGAACAGCTCTCACCAACTTCTCACTGGAGAAAGTGGGCCTTCCAATTACACAGAAAAAATGTAGCAAAATGAGGAACATCTTCCTAATTAGCCTAGCCTCTCTGGTGCGGATGTTAAATTTAAAGAAGAAGAAGGTAGGGGGTTCTGACGTGCATCTCAGGCCACCAGCTCTCCAGGTCTGCTCTTTCACACTCAGGGGGTGATATGACAGTACTAAGAAACGAGGTCCCTGAGGGACCCCTTTGGACAGCACCCCCCTGTACCCTACTTAGCACAGCCCCACACTCTATGGGGAAGGCAGCCATGGAGACCCTTCACCCCTGCACCAGCCCAAGTCAGTCCACGTCGGTCCACCTGGAAAGGAAGGGCACAGTGACCAATTCCACTGTCAGGGACTGTTGGTCAGGGGCATCCTGAAGATGGAAGCCCGAGGCTTAGTGCTGGGAAAAGGTCTTCTTTCCCAGGGCTCTTGCGTTTATAGAGGGTCTGCCCAGTTGCAAAATGGACCACACTTTCAAGGGGAAACAGCAATTTTGGCTGAGAACAAGTTAATGGCTGCAAATTTTGGCAAAGCAAGAAGTCATAAATCAGTAAATAGCATCCGACCACTGCCATGGTGGGACACTCGTGAGGTTCGTGGGTCTGACTTCCAGGAGTGGCTGGATGCGGAGGTGTCAGTCAACCCCTAATTAGAATACCTTATCCATCTTCCCGACACTTCAGTGAACTGTCTGCTCCACTCTGGTGCTGCAGCTTTGTTCAGAGCAGGTTAATTGATATTCTGATGCCTTCACTCGTCATACCCCCGTGGCTCGGTTCTGTTTTATCACACATCAAAAAGGCCGTATGCTCAGGGCACTCCATGCACCAGCGCAGAGCGGAGGTCTGCACAGCTGCGAGGGGTACGGTATCACAGGAGGGACAAGCACCGAGCAGATGTCACAGATGGAAAAAAAGGAAAGAAAAGCAGCCAGCCAGCCTAGGGAACTTGGCAAGGCCCAGCAGAGCGTGGCCTGATGCAGAGCCCGCATCTCGTTCAGTGTGAACACTGGCCTTTTCCGCACTCCTGACTATTATTAAAGCGCAATTAGCAACCTCACGTGCTAAGACTCTTGCCTTCTGGGTCCTCTGCCTTTTTGATGCATTGCCCCTGCCTCTTCCAAAGACCAGAGTGGGGCGCTCCCCTGGGTTCCTTCTAGGACGCCCCGGTCTGGCTCCCAGCTCCAACTGCCAACTCGGGAGGCTCCATCCCAGGCGTTCCCTGGAGCCAAATGCTGATTCCTCACAGTCCCAAGGAGGCAACCTAAGGCTGAAGGTTCAGACTTGATAAATCAGATTCCCTCAGCTCAAAGTCTGAACCAGGGGAAGCATCACAGGATGCATCACAGGCCCACCAGCCACCTCCCTTTTTTTCCAGTGAGATATTAAGTGGTTTCCCTATATATGACAGAGAAAAAAAAAAACAGATTTTATCAGCCAGAAAAATGCATCTTAAAAGATCAAGTTTGGGAAATGGATATGGTCTAGAGGCCAGCAGTGAGAACGGTGAGACTGTTTTGATGAAGAGAAAAAAAGTGACATCAAATTGCTCCAGTGCCAGTGCCTTTGGTTTATATAAAACATTAAAATCTTAGCCTGCCCCATCATCTTAGGATGGCTTCCATATTCAACTCATCTGGAAGATAAGCAGCAAGAATTTTTATTTCAAAGTTTAATCTCAAACAACACGCAACACCTGCTGGCATCCCTGACCGCGCTCAAATATATGAATGTGGTCGGACGGGT